TGCAGCGCCTCAGGGAAAGTTATAATGCAAGAGTTGGAACGAATTAATGCGGTCCCAAGACTAGACTATCCAATAAAATGAATATTTGGATAGCTGGACATGGAAGATATTGTGGTGTCAGGCTGTCAGCAGCTTGTGGGGGAAGTTATTTGTAGAAGCTGTGATGTTGTTGTGGTGTGTCTCGGCTCTCTGTTAAAGCTCCATCAGTCAGGATGAGCCGGCAACAAATGCAGCCGAGTCATACGGGGTCACGCGAGGCCTCGGGACGGCATCACTCAACTCAGCTGTCCCCTGGCTGTCACTGTGTGATTATAAGCATGCAAGCCTGTGGTACAGAGGGAGGGAGAGGCAGTAATTAATCACCCCATTGGAATAATCACATAATTGATTATTAACAAAAGCTGAGGTGAGGGTGAGAGGAGAGGGGGCGAGACGAGGGAAACAAGACTTTGAGAGGGAGCGACAGGGGGAGATGAATGAGGGGGGATTTGAGTGGTGGGGTAAGGGGTTTGTTCTGGCAGGTAGCTTTGACGAATAGCTCTGCATTCAAGTCTACCTTTTTGAGTATTGATCTACGAAATCATGTCTCCGGATGAGGGATGGAAGAGGTGGACAGCAGTGTGAGGCAACTCACAGTGAATTGGCTGGGCGAGGCTGAAGTACTTGTTAAGCGTGCTATGTAAACGCAATTAAAATTTGCATACCAAATGCTCTATATATTGCATTGGAAATGTGAGAGTGAAATGCCCTCTTTACCCTGAATACAACCCCAAAGATGCCTACATTCTTCATGACATTTAGAAATATCATAATTTTTGTCGGTGTATTCAAATGCGTACCATGCTGACATTTTGTTCCCCTGTGAGGAAAACAGTGACGCTGCTGTTGCATTCATTCATTGTCCATTTCTGCTATTGACACTTCTCCTTAAGCTGCTGTGTGACTTGAGCTGTCAGAGGGTCTTTTTTTTTTTTTTTGGACCTTCAGCTTACATAGTTCTGCCTGGAAGGCTTGATCTCTTCCCCCCTTTCCTTGTCACAGCCTGCAATCAGCCTTAAGCCCTTTTGTGTTCTCCACTCTGAGCTAAGCCTGTTATCCTGTGCAACTCCTTTACTCAAGATCACTACTATATCCCCCTTCTCTGTCTCTCTGCCTCTTTCACCTCTTACACCTTCCCTCTCGTTCCCTTTCTCTGTCTGTCTGTCTCTTTGTTTTACACACACGCGCCGACCCAAAAGGGAAATGGTTTTTCAGTTTCTCGAGGATGGATTAGCAGGACTGATTTATATTTATTTGGTCTTGTTCCTGCGTGGCACCCACAGACACGCAGCCCCTCCCATCCTCCATTCCACTCCACCACCACCCCCAAAACACATGTACTGCCTCTGCCATATTCCCACTCATCCCTCCCACTGCACACACCTGCTACATGCTCATACACACACACACACACACACGCATTGCTCACTGCTGTTGTTTGGATTCATCATATTAGAAAAAAAACACACCCCACCTCCTGCAAGTTGTCAGTTTGCTGGTGCATTGCAAACTCCTGTATGTCCTCCTAAACTGCAGCCTCTAGTCCCCCAGGGTCTGCTCCTCACATTCATAACACTCCGCTCCATGCCAGGTGGCTGTCTCCACAAGTCCTCGTTCCCATAAATCAGACTGTCTTTGAGTTGATCAATAACAAGTCAATTAGGAGGCGCAGAGAGATGAGGGTCTCAGGGGGTCACAGCTTGTTTGTCAGGCAGACATCTGCAGCTCCGTTTCTGCTATGGAGCAAGGTGTGCCGTTTACCTTGGAAACATGTGGCTACCTGGCCGTCATAAATCTAAATATCAACTATAAATAGGCTGGGAACATCTTGCTACAATCCATCATTTGCTTGTTCTTGGATATGTAATATATCAAGCATTGTGTGCTTCAAATCTCCCAGCTGTGTCTGATGGATTTGAATAAGTAGTAAGCAACACTTTTTGTTTGAACTTTTCTGCATATTTTCCCTTTTCAGCATTTCTTGTGAGTAAGTACGCTTGTCACACACACACACACACACACACACACACACACACACACAAAAACCCCCAGAAATTACTACTGTTGCTTTTTAAGGTCACACTTGACCATATGCACCGAATATAAGCCACAAAGCCTGCCAGTATTCATCCTGCTCCCCTGTTAAGATGACAAGAGTGGGAGAGACCCAACTGTTGTTTGGTGCCCACTGACTGTGTATCTAATGAGTTGGCTGGCAATTCCAGCGCAACAGCAACAGGCTCCTGTGGCGAATACAACAGATTAATCCCCTGGATAATTACAAACAAGAATGATCTTGGGCAAATACTCCACATACCTACTGAGACATTATATCAGATGATACTGTCTAATTAAAACTCATTCACTGAATGGTGACGGAGAGACAGCATTGGGAAAAATGAATGAAACGTGCTGCTTTGCTTGCTGACTGTATGTAAAGAAAGTAAGTGCAGATAAAAACTTCACAGGTGTCCAACATGATAGCAACACAATACATAATGTATACACAATGCGGTTATCTTGTAATGAAAGAAAAAGAACATTTGACACATTCAGTGTATATTTTCTGGTTTATTTCACGTATTCCATGCGTCTACAATCCAGGTAGCGGCCATGTGGCCTCTTGTAAGTAAGCTCACATTGCTTTGAAAACTCACTTGTCGAAATAGTAGACGCCTGATAAACGTTCACACTCCAACAGCTAACACACACTGCTAATTGGCATTCGACCTGATACAAGTCACTTGTGTTGCTCCCTTTGTCATTTTGATTCAAAGCAGTCAACACCTGAATTGCCGCAGCGTCAGTCACACGCACCGAAAGATGATGGGAAGTGGCACGAGGGGAAATCTCAATAATACAGAGAGATTAGAATGACAATAATAACAATCAGAGTTATTATCGTTACGGCAAATATTATTGTTTCCTATTTTTCTTTATTCATTCATTCAAACCCTCTAAAAGTCATTCTTCAGTTCCCTCCTCTCTTATTCACACACAGACAGACACTATGACAACATGTATGTTTGAGACATTACCACCATGTCACCTTTCATGTTTTGACAGATCACATTATTGCAAGAGGAGAAAATGACTAAAAGATGCCGATTTGCTTAACACATTAGAGAACACCCCAACACATTTGACAGTCACACATAGAAGCTAATAAACAAAGATCATCATCAGCTTTAATGCACTGACATGAACTGTTATTTTCATTCTGTCAGTTCCTGTATTCATCCACGTTTCTATCAAATTCATTTGTCTGTGTCTAAATTTGCAATGTCACTATCATAAAAAATAATATTTTGATACAATATTTGACACGCTTTTTATTCTCCTGTGGGACGAGACAGTGTGTTTATTTTGTGCCCTGTTGTGCGAGCTCTAGCACTAGTAGCCTTTTCGTGAGTTTAAAGTATCTGTCTTTCTGTCAGAGTGAGGCCACCTGGATGAGGTGAACCTGCAGATGGATAAGGGAAAGGGGAGATAAAGGTGACACAGAAGTGGTTCCAGCTGAGGATGAATGTGGTGTGGTAGAAAGTTGTTTGTTTAGGGTAGACTGTTGGATTCTGTACATGCACATGTTTGCAACCGTGTTTTGGGGTTGACCTTGTTTTTTTTTCTTCTTCCAAATCAGCTGCCTCTATCAGGTGGCAGGCATTGACTGTTGGGATCCCATGAAAGGAAAGGGTATAAATACAAGACACGAGGAGACAGACAGGAGCAATCCCACTGTATAGACGCTGCAAACTGCAACGCACTCAAAACACATACAGTCTATGTAGTGTGTGCGGGGGCCGGGCTCCAGGGCTTCCCTTGCGCTCTCATGCGGAGAGGACCCCCAGGAGATCTGACGCCAGCTGAGACTGAAAAACAAGGTAAGAGCCCAGCTGACACACATGCACACAGGCTCAGCTGTTTGTCTCAAAGGAGAGTTCAGCATGTGAAGTACACAGAGAGCGAGGGAATGAAGGAGACTGCCAGATTCAAGCCTCCCAGGGAGAAAGCGTAGTGAGAACACTGAAAGATGGATGGATGGAAGATTCCTGTGTGTGGTGTGTGCACTACAGGTGTGCAATGGTAAGACTCAACTATGGATGTAATAGTTTCTGAGACTGTTTGACTGCTTTATTGTCTGAACTGGTAATGAAACCAAGATAGTATGGGGGGAGGGAGGCGGTGGTAGGGGAGGTGAAATAGGGTCTGTCAGTGCTGCAGTATCATTGATCCTACCTGTGCCGTATCATAAGAGCACTTGGATGTTGAAATACGACTCCTAAATGGAACAATGTTGTGTTTGGGATAATTCTTTATGATCTTTATTCAATATGATGGCTCTTGTTTTGTTTTCCCTCCTGTTTGGTCAATATCTATGTATTTATGAAATAAGTTTCCAGTGTCTCCGATTTATTCCTCCGCATTTAAAATGCCAGTCGGAGGCTCCCAGGGGCTCCCAATTCTCTCTCAAGCCAAGAAAATGACTAATATAAATGATTGACAGCCTTGCACGGATAAGGTTGCCCATTTAGCAAACTCGCTGTGTCAAAGGGAAAAAAAGTCACAATGGCTCCCTGAGCGATGGGATCGGGGATGAGAGAAATGAAGATTTTGGCGCTGTATCGATTCCCCCAATGCTTGTCTCATGCATTTTACACAAGATCTAAATGCCACTTATGGTATAATACAGCACTCTAGGTCAGGGCTCACTACTTTCTCTTCAGTGGGATTTCAGGGTACTTGGGGTATAAATTCAACAGGAATCACATAAAGCTGTTAGATTGTGTCGTGGGCTCAACACTGAGAAGGCACTGGGGATAGCTGAGGATCTAAACCTTCAAATCTCTTCTCTTTATCCATTAATGTGCTTCTCGTGGACAGCTGACATTATTTTCATACTTTTGTAATGTATCAAACTAAGCCCTCCTCTTCTCTCCAGGGTCTAAGATCGAAAACGCATCATGGCGGAGGAGAACCCGGAGACAGATGGCCCCAGATCCAACATGCCGGCTGAGCTCCACCATCCCCACTCTAAGTACTCTCAGTGGAAGTTTAAGCTATTTAGGGTGAGATCCATGGAGAAGGCCCCTCTCCCCAGTGAGACACAGGCTGAGAACGGAGTCTTGTTAGGGATCTCACCTTCTGCAGCTCCAAAAATAGAATTAGATAATGGGGTGAGTCCAGGGAGCGTTATGAAATTGTGCCTTGGGGGAAAAAGCAAGGAGAACGTGGAGGGCCCGGGCCGGAGGGTCGATAAGAAGTTAGAGGAAATGGACACCCACATGAACCACCTCAGGTAATCAGATGTCACTTTATAATAATCTACACTACATTCACTATTATAAATGTTTCTTTCGGAGAATTTGACAACACCGATTTTGTTTTATGAAGGTGTCTCTGCCGTCTCTGTGGAATGACCCTGAGGAAAGTCAAAGGACCAGTGCATGAAGTTCATGGGGATCTGGATGAGGTGAGCAAAGGTGTCCTGCGTAAAATGGGCTGCAGGTTTACCGGCTGGCCGGAGGTCATCCTCAAAGTCTTCAAAGTGGACGTGACGGAGGACACAGAATCTGTCCACCCGCTCTCCTTCTGCCATCGCTGCTGGATGGCTGCCATACGAGGAGGCGGCGTCTGCAACTTCTCCAGAGTAAGAGTCCCCGAGTGGAAACCCCACTCTTCCCCCTGCTACCTTTGCTCCCCAAAGAAATGTTCATTCCAGCGGACCGGGAGGAAGAGGAGGAAGACCATTCCCAGAGCCCAGAGCCTGGCGAAAAGGACCAGGTGGGAGCACGCCGACAGCATCGCCGTAGGAGAGAAGAGAGTTCTGAGATCATTCGCAGACCGTCATCATGGTCAGGGGCTCAGGGGCTGGAGGAAACCCAGCATCCAGAGAGAGCAGTGGGTGAGGAACATCACCCGCTGCCAGAAAGACCACCTGAGCGCTAAACTGATCTCTGACAAGCTCCCTGTGGACTTCCTCTTTTCTTTTACCTGCCTGGTGTGCGACCACCTGCTCTTTGATCCAGTTCAGTCCCCCTGCGGGCACCTCTTCTGCCGCAGCTGCATCATAAAATGCAACCACGTTCTGGGACCCCACTGCCCGGCCTGCAACTTGTCCTGTGGCCCTGATGACCTCAGCCCGCCTGCCAAAGCCTTTTTATCAGCTCTGCATTCCCTACCTCTGCTTTGCCCCAGGGGCGGTTGCGGCAAGCAGGTAAGGTTGGACTCATTTAAAGCTCACTGTCGGGACCACGAGCTGAATGAGCATGACGCAAATAAGCAGTCATCAGAGCTTGATAACTACCTGCTAGCCAATAAAGGGGGAAGACCCCGTCAGCACTTGCTGTCACTAACCCGTCGTGCCCAGAAGCATCGGCTGAGGGATCTGAAGAACCAGGTCAAAGTGTTTGCAGACAAAGAGGAAGGTGGTGACCTGAAGTCCGTGTGCCTGACACTGTTCCTGCTCGCACTGAGATCTGGGAATGAACACCGGCAAGCAGATGAGCTCGAGGCCATGATGCAAGGTAATAGGCTATTATAAACCTTTTGTTCCATCAGCGTGACTCTTCAGAGCCAACAAAGAGGGACACAAACAAATGAAAATCATGATAGTGTTTGCTCATTAATATTTCCTCCTACCTCTGAGGAATACAGTCATCACATAAATAACAATGAGATGAAAAGTTCACTGTTGAAAAGACAAAAGAAGAAAGTTTTCTGTGATTTTGATTGAAAAGCATTTCATTATTGTCCATCTCTGTCTATTGAACCGCCGCTGGTACACGCCCCAACCCCTCCCCGACTCTCTCCCACTCTCGCTCTCTGTCTGCTTGTCTGTCAGTCTCTCATTCTCGCACTCCCTTTAATGCACAATAACAACTCTTGTGAAGGGGCTGTTAGAATCAAAACAACATCAGCAGCTCTTGTATCTGCAAATTACACAGACAGCACCATCCTCCTCTCTGGGGAATAGAAGCCAGCTGGTGTCTGTTTTCATCTGCAGCCAATACATCACTTTTGCCAGCTTCACTGATTCAACCCTCTGTCCCCTTATAACATTTGGAAATTAGGAAATATTGGATTTTGTAATCATGGGCTTGTGGGCTTTTGACAATGATACATTCACATCTGGGTGTTAAATTCCTGATTCTCTCTGTCTCATGGTATAAATGACTCCAAATGCGGGATATCAAATGAGGAAATGTTAGATACTGCAGTTCTTTTCAAATCACTAGAAATGGGCTCCCACAGTTTGGTGTTGAATAATTCTCCTCATGTCTCACTCCTTTCCCCTCACTTTCCTTTTGTATTCCTGTTTTTTTATTTTTGCCTCATTCTGCCTTTTTTTTTCTGAAATTCTCCTCTCCTTTTATTTTCTCTCTCTCCACAGGCAGAGGCTTTGGGTTGCATCCCGCAGTGTGCTTGGCCATTCGGGTGAACACTTTCCTGAGCTGCAGCCAGTATCACAAGATGTACCGGACCGTCAAAGCCACCAGTGGCCGCCAGATCTTTCAGCCCCTGCACACCCTCCGAGCGGCAGAGAAGGAGCTTCTCCCTGGCTTTCACCAGTTTGAGTGGCAGCCAGCTCTCAAGAATGTGTCCACATCTTGCAATGTTGGCATTATTAATGGGCTCTCTGGATGGGCTTCCTCGGTGGATGACACCCCGGCTGACACCATCACTCGGCGGTTTCGCTATGATGTGGCGCTGGTGTCAGCATTAAAGGATCTGGAGGAGGACATCATGGAGGGGCTGAGAGAGAGCGGGATGGAAGACAGTGCTTGCACCTCAGGCTTTACTGTCATGATCAAGGAATGCTGTGATGGCATGGGCGATGTCAGCGAGAAGCACGGCGGAGGACCAGCCATTCCCGAGAAGGCTGTACGTTTCTCTTTCACTGTTATGTCTGTCTCTGTCCGGGCAGAGGAGGAGGAGGAGGACGTTACCATCTTCACCGAGCCAAGGCCGAACTCGGAGCTGTCCTGTAAGCCCCTTTGCTTGATGTTTGTGGATGAGTCAGACCACGAGACACTCACAGCCCTCCTGGGGCCTGTAGTTGCAGAGCGTCATGCAATGAAAGAGAGCAGGCTCATCCTCTCCATCGGCGGCCTTCCTCGCTCCTTCCGCTTCCACTTCAGGGGCACGGGATACGATGAGAAGATGGTGCGAGAGATGGAAGGCCTGGAGTCCTCGGGGTCCACGTATGTCTGCACTCTGTGTGACTCCAGCCGGGCGAACGCCTCTCAAAACATGGTGCTACACTCCATCACCCGCGGCCATGAAGAGAACCTAGAACGTTATGAAATATGGAGAACCAACCCCTTCTCTGAGTCTGTGGACGAACTGCGAGACAGAGTCAAAGGTGTCTCTGCAAAGCCCTTCATGGAGACCCACCCCACGCTAGATGCGTTGCACTGCGACATTGGCAATGCCACTGAGTTCTACAAAATCTTCCAGGACGAGATCGGGGAGGTGTATCAAAAGGTCAACCCCAGCCGGGAGGAAAGACGCAGCTGGAGGGCCGCCCTAGATAAACAGCTGAGGAAGAAGATGAAGCTTAAACCGGTAATGAGGATGAATGGGAACTACGCCCGCAGGCTAATGACCCTGGAGACTGTGGAGGTGGTGTGTGAACTGGTGCCCTCAGAGGAGAGGAGAGAGGCCCTGAGGGAGCTCATGAGGCTCTACCTCCAGATGAGGCCTGTGTGGCGCGCCACCTGCCCAGCCAAGGAATGCCCAGACCAGCTGTGCCGCTACAGCTTTAACTCGCAGCACTTTGCCGACCTCCTCTCCTCTACCTTCAAATACAGGTACAACGGAAAGATCACCAATTACCTGCACAAGACTCTGGCCCATGTGCCTGAAATCATAGAGAGAGATGGATCCATAGGAGCCTGGGCCAGTGAGGGGAACGAGTCGGCAAACAAACTGTTCAGGCGTTTCCGGAAGATGAATGCACGTCAGTCGAAGGCCTTTGAACTTGAGGACGTGTTGAAACACCACTGGCTCTACACCTCCAAGTACTTGCAGAAGTTTATGGAGGCTCACAAGGACTCTGCCAAAGCTCTGCAAGCTACCATTGACCCAATAGAGATGCAGGATGATGAGGATATTTCTCTGGAAGTGAATGATTTTTGATTTTTCTTTTGATATGAACCTTTGATATAACATTGGATTGACTTTGTAATAGTTGTATAACCTGTTACGTATCGATATTATATAAGTAATATGGCCTTGTTTATAAATTCTGAATTTACTTTCTGTATATATTGTTTGATGTCTAGAATAGTTCGGGAAAGGAGCCAGTGTCATTACACTTTTTCTGAGATTTTGCATATTTTCTTGTGAGTATCTTTGCAAATTGAAACAAAACATCAGTTACTGTTGACCTTTTCGCACTTGAATGGAGTATTTTCTAGAACTTAATGGAAAGTAATGTTATTGTCACACCACGTTTTTAAATGTGTCTTGTATTTGAACCGCCTTGTTGTGGAAAGGTTCTATACATACACTGTAAATTTGCCTTGCCTCGCTTTGTTAGCAAAGATTGGACAGCACAGGGAGATAGAATTAACACACAGGTTTCTTTTCGCTCGCTCTGAGCAGAAAAGTTTTTTCCTTTATCTTCGCCGTCTGTGAAATATGGTTCAGTTTATTGTATCGCAAGGATATGACACATTTATGAATTTATATAGAGAGGATATTTATGGAAACAGATGAAAGCGCTGTAAGTCATGGGGGAAAATTGTGTTAAAAAGACCACATTTGTGGCCACTGTATTAATATATCATTTGAGCTGGCGCAAAATGCAATCACGGAGACCAAAATGTTCTTTGTTTCATGAGTGCCCTCTGAAAAAGATTACTTTAGTGCTTTATCGTGGGATCCCTGAGGGGCAGGATAGATGCCAGGTCACTTTGAACCAATTTTTATCTCTTTTAGTTTTTGCACAGTGGAGGATAGATGATACTTATTCGAATTCTTCACATAAAATAAAGCATATACTGACCTTTTTGTTGATATCATAAAAATACAGTATGGTCCATTACGGATCCTAATACCCCATGGACTCCCTAGCAGGCAGGGATTTTTCTTAAGTACTGTATATAACCTGGCTCTTTTCTCTGCTGATATTTCTTCATTGCCACGGCTGGCAGAGGAGAGGGATGGGCTGCAGCTTGAGAGACCTGATTTAAACTGATTTGTTGGCAACTTTATTTGTTTGATTGATTGATTATATTGTCTTTTTCTGCCCTCGCCATTTTGAATTGTGACAGGCAATTTTGTTTTCCTATTTGATTGAATGTTTGATTTGATTTTTACTGTCATAGGTTTAACCATACGACAGCAGTGAAATATTCACATTTCATTGGATAGTTGTCACCCTTGTACAATAACATCATGTTTCGAGTGCATTATATTGCAACTTGCCTCATATTTGTTTTTTGTTTTTTTGCTGTAATGAATTGCATTTCCAAAGTAATGGATGATGGATGATTCATAAGATTCTATTTGTTCACTTTTTACCATGTACTTTCTCATTTTGTTTTTCCATACCACACTAAATATCAGGTACTGTTTACTGAGGTTGCAGAAGATTTTCAGTGGTGATATACTTTGCATACTGGTGCAGTGTTACACTGAAGCTCCACTACATTTCACATGTTGTTTGTTTTTACATGTAGTCACATATTTCTCATGTATTTTCACTGAACCACACAAATTACTCTGCTATACCATTTTTTTTACTACTTTATTTTACTCTTTTTCCCCCAAAGAATAAATAAAGACAGAATCTGACTTAATCTTCTGGTGTATTTTTCTTAAACAATTTATAATTCATTTTTTTTTGTTTTAAATTTGTATTAGCAACACAGAACTCAGGTACAATTGTTTCTGGAAGACAGCACTAGTCACAATTTATGACTGTGCTCCTGGAATACAAAATAACAATGAACTGTTTTACAGCAAATGAACCCGATCTGGAAACATCAGAGCCAGACAACCTAAAATATTTTTTGTCACATCTAAAGACTGTGAAAGCCCTTTAAAAAAAAACATTCATTTTTTATTTCAGCTTTTTTATTTTCATTACAGATATATTTGCCAAAAGGTCTATATGTTAGGTATTGTTTATCAATTATAATTCATTTAATTGTAAAATCAATTTAGGTGCATTTGCCTCTGGAAACCAATTTTAGGAAGTGCTAATTTAAAAACTTATATTTTCAGTTTGTTGGATGCTTACAAACATTGACAGTGCTCAGCTTGACTTTCCTGGACACTATCTGCTGCACCAGTGTCAATACCATTATGATATTATCGGACAATGGCACAGCATGTAAATTGTGCACTAGTTACTGGTGAGTTTGAAAGGAAGATGGATCAAAACAAAATTACTGAATGGATTTTCCATTTAACAAATGAACTTCGTTTCTCTCAGAACGATCCTAAAGTTGTAGATTTTATTCTCAGTCTGACTGGAGCGGCTATTCTGCCATCATTCAACTTACACGTAAAACAACAAAATGTAATTTTATTAGATTTAACAGCATTATTATGACTGTTGTGGTCAGTTTGAATCACTTGAATAAAGGAAGTGCTAGACTATATTTTCCAGTCAGAAGGATGGTTCCATAGACCTTACAAGTGAGTAACAACAACACAATATTTTTCACTTTGGTCCTTGACTGAATACAGAGTAGCTACTGATAAAAATACAAAGTAGAAACACTGACAGACTAGTTTTTTATATATATATGAAAACACATAAGAAATAAAATGGTATGAAGACAGAGAATTTGAGGCTGTTTATTGTTCATTGTTATCACAAATTTCATTGAGTACATTTCCCATTCATTAATCATCAATGTAAATGTAAAAAAAGAATCATAAAAAGAACACAGCTTCGTTTGGCCTTTGAAGACAGTGTTAAGTAAGTAAAACCTGTTTAAAGCCATATTGTACAGTAGTACATTTTTATTCAAACATTGTAAAATCCCAATGAAAACACACAGCTGTCACACATGAAATTTAAGTTTGCAATTTTTATCTCTTCACATACAGATCAGCATATTAGTGGTTTTTCATCAATCATTTATTCACTTATTTAAAGTAGGAAACTCCCTACATATACAGTACATACAGTAGCTTCCTTAACAGTGACTACGCATCGAGAATAGAGTCAGTCAAAAAGTCTTCTTAAAAAGCTTTTTTTGGCAGGGGAAATCTTGATTGTTGGAGGAGTTCTTCTGTCCTTAACCTTCATGGGGGTGCGCTTCAGGGGCATGACCTGTCGAGGTGGGGTCATCTCCTGGTAGGGCAGGCCTCCGTGGTCCAGGCAGAAGTACTTTTTGCTGCCCTGAGAGAGTCTGACCAACAGGGTCTCAGACAGCTCCATGCACTGGGCGTGGACCCAGTGCCCCCCCTCCCCTCTGGAGCAGAAGATCATGGCTGGTCGGTGGAGCTCAGTGGAGTAGTACGGCTCCCACGTGTTGGGGTTCACCTGACAGCCCAGGCAACATTTGATCCAGTAGCCTGTTTTCGATTCATCTTCCTCATCCTCTTCGTTGTATGTGTCTCCTTCTTCGTCACTGCTGCCCTCCAGCTCGTGCGGCTCACGGCCAAAGTAGAGCTCCTCCGAGTCCTCAAGAGGAGTAGAGTCGTCGTAATCTGTCGACTCCTGGCTGCAGCCCAGGGTTCCTTCTTCCTCTTTGCCCCCTCCCTCTGTCTGGAAGCTCACCATATAGAAGTAATGCACATCTGGTTGAGATGGCCTTCCCTCAGTAGGTACAGCAAGTAGGATGCTTCCCTCTCCTGCACTGCCCCCAAACCAAGTGCGACTATGGAGGATATCTTGAGTCCACTCGGGTGGTACTAAAGTCTCAAAGTGGATCCCTGTCTCATCTAGAATCACAGTGCTGCACTCCATCCTCTTCTGAGAGTCTGACTGATATCCACCCAAGATTATGTATCTGTGAGCGGGACCTGGGCGGGTGATTATAGCGCTAGAGATGGATATGCCAGTGTGGAGGGCCTCACAGGAGAGCAAAGGGCTGCCCTGCAGAAGCTCGACACGCAGCCGCAAGAGTCGTGGGGGGCGGGAGTCAGAGGCGAGCGAGTGACCTCCGATGAGGTAGACACAGTCTTCTCTAGCGAGGGCCAGATGGAAGGACTGTCCGTCACCGAGCTCAGGTAAAGTGTGAGCAGAGGAGCACCCAAACTCCAGGTCAAACAGGAACACCTGGGGAGGACAGTCGACGACGCTGTTCCAGCTCTCTGTGGTCCGCTCTCCTGCAGGCATGTAGGATCGACCCCCGAATAATACACAAGCCGTCTTCCCGCGGCTCTGAACCATGCTCATTGTGTGGCCGTATCGGGCCCCTGGCACTTCTCCCACCAGTTCTTTCTCTTTGCAGCACAGGGTCAGTTTTCGATTGCAGCCGCGACTATCCATGGTCAGCAAGTACAAGCTCGACGAGATCTCGTTATTTGGGGTGCGGCCGCCGTGGATGAGATAACTTTCTGGAAGGCCGTCATAGGGGTCGAGGCGGCAAACAGCGGGACAACGTAATGGAGGGAGATAGTTGGAATCACTGGAGAAGCTGATGGCCCTCAGCTTTATCTCACCCTGTTTAAACCGAACCCCAAAGACTCCTGTTGGACATGAGCGCTTGGGCCAGCCTTTCTGGCCAAACAGGAGAATTTCACCATCCAGCTGCAGCAGAGAGCAGCCAGGCTGCAGGAGGCCTGTGCAGTTCACCGGAGTTAATGGTTGCAGGGTCATTTTCCCGCAGGTGCCTGCATCAAAACACGACACAAAGACACAAACACAATGTGTCAGTCAGCTGTTGCTTGTTTTCATTCTGGGGTTTTAAATTTTTACTTCCTGTTTATGACACCATCACATGGAGGACGATAATAATATCCACATGATCATAATATGTGCTATAGACCACAAAAACATAAATAGGGGCAGACATTAACTCAGCCTCTTCACAAGCCAATATATATATTTTTTTTTATCAATGAAAGATGGCATACACAATGCTACCAACATTTAGACAGTAATAGTATAGATATATTGTAAATAAAGGAATAATAATGATAATAATAAAGCAAGGATATGAAATTACACATATGTAAAAAACTACTACTACTACTAGTTCTTCTACTAATAATAATAATATGTGGAATAGTTCATTTAGCTGCTAACAAATGAAATCTAAATAACATCTGCAACGTGTAAGTGCTTATTTCCATACTTAAAATTTCCAATAAATAAGTAAAAAAAAACTGGACTTTTCTATGACTCATTATGGCAAGATGAATTGTAGAGCAGTGGAGAATTTGAGAGCAAAAGAACCATGAATTTGTAAGTGAAGCTACATTACTGACACACCTACCAACACTAACTGCAGGTTACTATAAATATGAATGCAACTGCTGCTCCTATTGTCTGACAACACAAATTAGAGCTGTGTTTTTTTTTTTTAAGTCCTCAAACAGGTCAAACAGAAGCGATAAGATGTCAACACTATATGCGAGTAGAACAGTATAGTATGACAATGACCTCCCTGGTTCAAATCATTATTTTCAACCATAAAGGAAAACCTCATATTTAAAACTTTTTATCTTTGAATCAGAATCTTAAACAGCAGCATGAGACGGGAACGAACTCTTCCACACGCTGCTTCACTGAGTCTGTAACTTTCTGTTTACAAACGGCGACAGATTTTCCTGGAAAATGAGTTAGGCAACATTATCTGCTGCACCAGTGTCAATACCATTATGATGTTATTGGACAATGGCACAGCATGGGCATTGTGCACTAGCTTTTGGTACGTTTGAAAGGAAGATGAATCAAAACAAAGTTACTGAATGAATTTTCCATTTAATGAATGATATAATTTCTCTCGGAACGATCCTAAAGTTGTAGAGTTTATTCTGACTGTGGCTGGATTGTGCCATCATTCAACTGACATGTATAACATTTTATTAGATTTAACAACTTTGTTATGACTGCTGTGGTCAGTTCAAGTCACTTCTAAAGACAGACCAATATTGAACATATTTACCAGTTAGTAGCATGGTTACATAGACTTTACAAGTGAACTTAGACTAACAATAAATTTAAAGAGCCTTCCGTTATTTTAGAATCATAAGCTTTAGTTTGCTTACCTTACAGCCAGGGCCAGACGCAGTGCTTGAGCTGACTTTACTGTGAATCTTAAGATCGCTAAAGATGAATCTAAAGGGCTCTTTATGTTGTCGAACTTTGACAAAAGTAGATGGTGACAGAGTTTGTGAAGCTTCGTTGACTCACAAACACTTCCAGATCTTGAGGTTAACAGTCTGTGACTGCTGCTCTCTGGCAGGTGTGCTGCTTGAGTGCGTACAGAGTCACTTCAGTGATATCACTGGATACTGCAGACACAATGTTGATATCAGGGGATATCACTGAAGTTATACTAAACAGGCTCTTGAACAATCCTAACCTGTATATTACCATGAAAAATTACAACCTGTTAACATGTGGTATGTTTTTTTTTTCTCTAGTAGTTATGACAGTAGTTTAAACAACAGATCCAGTCTCTTTAAGGAGAATGCATTTATACATTAAATGAGTTGATTTTGTTATACACATCCAAAACAAAGTGAATAATAGATATGCTTATAATAAATAAATAATTAAAACTGATTCATTTATTACAGTCCAGATAATGGCCACGGTGGTAAACATGACCTGCACTGTGGAGGAAAGTCATCCACTCTCCGGAAAGCAAACATTGTACTGTTCGTTCTTTTTATTGCCTTAACAAGACACACCTCTGATGTGAAAGTTTTGGCATGAGGTGGGAAGTAGAAAACACAGTCATATAGAGAGCCATGGTGTGCGTGCACTCTAATTCAATAGTTATAGTTCTGTTTCTGAAAAAATAAAACAAACAAAAAAAAAAAATGATCTCCTGAATTAAACTCATTCACCAGCTTCATGTGTCAAAACTAAGTGGCAAAGTTTGGAAAAATACAGCGATTCAATGATCTTATGTTAATTATTATATTAACTGGAGCAGATGCAAACAGCCATTTAATTGCAGTCAAACTCAAGATTTATTGATATGCGTCCTACATTAATTAGGAAACTGGACATCGGGAAATTCCTTAAAATCTCATAATGAATGATCTGTGGTTCCGAAAATGATTTCCTCCTCACGCAAAACCATTTTGTGATGGCTGAAATTGTAAGATAATTAACTTCATGTAGATGATTGAAATGATTTTCCTAGTTTATTCTCCATGACTAGGGCTTCTAAGTCCCACAATCTTTCTAAAGCTGATTACAGGGCCTAATCAAACTTTTTCTTTCTTTTTTTCTTTTTTTTTTTGTTAATTATTGGGTAGTATATACTGATCCATTAGTATTAAGGAAAATAGGTCAAGGGCAACCACTTCTAATGTGGAAACAGAAATATTTATTCAAGTGCTTCACTGCTCCATTAGAAAGCGCACGTCCTTTCAAATGTGGTGCCATACTGTTCGAATGCATGTGTTGTGCTCCACAGCCTAGATTCACATTTTCAACTTTGCTGCTGTTGGCTTTAATTAAAAGCTTCATTTTTGTGTCTGATGTGTCTTCCTTCCTCTTCTTTTTCTTGTCTTTTGCCTTCAAATGAAGCCTTTTCCTTCCCCCCTTATGGTTTTACTTATTTTTGGCATCAAAAATGATCTGATCCTTTAAGCACTGTCAGACTACTCTTATAGCTTGCTGAAAAAAAGCCCTATACGCATTTGAACAAATGTGGCTATTAGTTGCAGCCTGCCTCATACATACACACATAGATCCAGAGCCTCACTGGATACATCACGGTAATACCTCATAAACCGTAAGCATAAGAGTCAACACTATCTGTTTCAGTGATCCTTCTGACACTCCTTCACTGCTGAATGACATGCTGTGCCGAGAGTGTGAGTCATTAATTCCCGCACTACGCTGAACCTAATGTATTATCATACTATGAAGCTGTTTCATGAGGGAAGGGGAAAAGAAAGGAGAAACAAAACATCATTCTTCAAAAAGGATGAATACATTCTAGTTGCTGGTTCAGACTGACATTCCTGTCTATACGCCTCTGTTTTAAAGATTTGACCTACTGTAGGTAAAAGCATATCCCCTATATGAGTGACACACACACACACACACACACACACACACACACACACACGCCGAAACACCTAGAGAAAAACTGAGCTGGAAGCAGATGTCTACCCACTCATTAGCATAATGTTTTTGTGCGCTGAGCGTCTGAGAGAAAACTTGAGGAGTGTGCAAAACAAAGGCAGAAACCACAAGTGCCTGGAAGACCGTTACAGCTTGAAAACACAAAACAGCAGAGCACCTGTGTGTCTAAACTGATGCTTACAGGAGCAGAGAGGGGAGAAAAAGAATTTACTCCTGTTACTAAAGAGGATATAATACAGGAATTCAGATGTCAGTGGGATATGCAGAATGGATTGAATTTTTTTTTTTTCTCCCCCCGTCTTTATTTTTTCAGAAGTGTTCCATCCGTATGAATTCAGCCTTGGAAAAATAAACCTTTCCAGTCCCCTCAAGGCATCCGCACAAAGCACTGTTGAAAAGCACTGACTGCTATGTAGCCACAGCTGGGATGGTGCAGAGAGTGAGTAGGAGGCACAGCAGTGTGTGGCAGACCCCAGGCCATGCAAGGATTTGTACATAATTGATAGAACAAAGTAATTAGAATCTGCGGTAGCACCTGTTTCTGTCCCATGTAATGTATCACTACCTGACTGTTGCTGCCCTGAAGCGTGGTTTTGACGGATGACGTGGTGACAGCTCTGATGTTCTGACGATCACTGTGCAGCGGTGTTTATCACTATTTAATGTTACGGTAATTGCTCCCCTTGTGGTGATTGGTACAGAGCGCCGGTGGGGTGCTTCCACCTCACTCTGTTTAACATTGTTGTGCTATGGTGGTTATCATCTAGTGATAAGTGACCTGTGATACCACAGGTTAGTTTTTTTTTTTTTTTTTTTACATCCAGGATTATTGTTTTAACACTGCAACGGTCATTTGAATCGCTTTGACCTCTGACCTAAAGGTTAGAGGAGCAGGCTTGTGACTGGAAGGTCGCCGGTTCAACCCCCTAACTGGCAGGATTAAATCTGGGCGGGAAAAGTGAAAGAGCAGCACTTATCCAACCTTCATCCAGGATCCCTACTGCTCCAGTGAAGCTGCTCAGTGCCGGCACATCTGGCTCTGGTTCTGGGCGGCTTCCAGGTGTGACTGTGTATGATTAAAGGTTTTACAATATTTGCAACTCGCAACTAGCTTGTAGATTTGAGTTTTTATGGTTATGTTATGGAAACTCAAACTACTCGGTCAAGGTCAGGGGAAGTCATGGTCTTGGTTAAAGCTGCACAAACCAATATGTTCGCATTGACAATGGAAAGAATTACGACACTACATGTACTGTGAAAGGAGATGTTTGTAGTGACAAACCCACTGATAATTGTCACCGGACCCTACAGTTCCCCTCAGCTCTATGGGGCGTTTTTTAACTTTTTTCAGCTGATTATTTTGATTTCATGGTCTGCACATTTGTTTAAGTTCTGTCTAATCTCTCTTGTTAGTGAATAATAGACTAACATTCATCAGGTGGACAGATGCATGACTCCAATTAAATGCTATAGTCTAATAGCTGTGTGTCTGCTGGGACAATGTGTGGGTAAATAGACGAATCCTGATCTCTTACGCAGGAGTC